AATAACCATTTTTTTTATATGTATGGCCAAGAAATTGTCTATTAAGATATAATTGAGGTAGAATGGAAGGACAATCCTTACTTATATCAACTACATGAGATATAAACTTTGGACTTTCGTCTAAAATTTTTGATAGATTCACGTACTTCTCACCATCTAATTTTATGTTAACATTTCATTTGGCATCGCTTCTAGGCAGTTTTGGTAAAAATATCATGACTTTCGATGCTAAAGGGTTCAACTGAAGGCTACGATTTCTTGCATACATATTAATAGACTTTATATCTTCATTTACCTCAGATTCGGCACTTTGAATGTTATGACTATGGAAATGACCGTACATCCGTGAATCGTCGGCAAATAATTGGATATTTCAATATTTAACAGATGCATGCAAATCGGAAATATACAAAATGCATAGGAGTGGCTCAAGTACGGACCCTTGAGGCACTCCGGAGGAGAGGAGACAAAACCATATCAATGCATAATACTCTTTAATATCGATTTCCTAAGAAGCTACTAGAAGACGATGATTTATGGTATCGAATGGAGGATTATCACATTATCAGTACGAAAACCACAGGATAAGATTCGGGTGTTATATTAAAAAAATAATAGAATGTTGATTGAATATAATTACTAGCAAAAACAATGAATTCAAATGTGAAATGTTTGCAACAAAACTTATCCTCTTTGCCTGGTAACCTCTCGCTAGCTCACGCCCCCGCCCCACTTTCGTTTTCCTCGCGGCGCCGACGGTATCCTAACTCCATCCGCTTGCCCTTCTCCCGCTACCGCCCCCGTCACCGCAACACCTCCCCCAACCTTACCCCGTCTCTCTCCTCTCTCCCCTCCCTGCCTTTGGCGTCGCCGAGCGTCGGGCGTCTGGCGACGCGTCCCGACGCTCGTTATCGATCCGAACCGACGCGCCGCCGTTTCCCCGTCGAGGGGTAACGGGGGGGACGTCGACAGTTAATCGACCAACAGAGAGCAGGGAAGGAAGAGGGGTAGAGGAGAATGGCGACGTTTGGACGTGAAACTATTCCGGAGAAGACGGGAGATCATCATGTGACTGATGGGAGATGAGCGGATGCGGCTGGGTAGTTTATTTACTGAATTTTGGCGACATCAAATACATACTTTTTTCATTACTAACCTAGGAAATCGCCATTATTTACCGGTTTCCTCTTCTAAGGATTTTTGTTCTTTTTACTTCGTAAAATTAACTGGTAGCAGCATTATCATCGTGATGTTGTCGAATATCTTGTGATAAATGTAAGTAAAAAAAACATGTTTTTTTTGTTTAAAACATTCAAATTTAGCTGAAAAAAAAACATGTTTAAAACACTGTTAATACATGTTTAAAACACTGTTAATATACTAAGTGACATATAAATCCGAACACACAGTTTAAATGGTTTTATTTTAATAAAAGTTGGTGAATGTATTTATCTTACTGTAAATAACAAGTGAAAAAATTTTCAGCCTTATCAGTTGGACATTCCGGTTTTTATATTGCTTTTTTTTAATTCACTAACGCTCTAAAAATGAATATTTCAGCTGCAGTAAAGAATCAACGTTGGCGGATTTTGGTTCTTGCCATCCTTTACGATCGGTTACGATGCCTAGAGTACGGAGACCTGTACGATTTCGTCAACTTAGTGAGTTTGATAGGGGCCGTATAGTGGGACTTCGGGAAGCTGGACTTTCTTTAAGGGCAATTGCAGTTAGAGTGCAAAGAAGTGTATACACTGTGATTAGGTGTTGTCAGGCATGGCTTCGAGAAGGCCGTACGCAAAGAGCAAGGGGCACTGGACGCCGCCGTAGAACAACAGACCGTGAAGATCGCCGCCTAAGATTATTGGCCTTAAGGGACCGTTTCTCCACTACCAGGTCCATTGCAAATGAATGGGTTGCAGAACACGGAAGACCTATTGGCATGCGAAGTGAATGAGAGGTTTTGGCTTGTTTTCATACCGGCCACACTGGGTCCTCCCTTTAACTCGAGAACACCGACGTAATCGGCTTGAGTGGTGCAGAAACGGTCACTCTGGAATCAGGAATGGAACAGTATTGTCTTTAGTGACGAGTCTCGATTTTGTTTAGGCATGCACGATGGTCGTGCCAGGGTTAGAAGGCGACGTGGTGAAAGGAGGAATCCACAGTTTTTTGTTGAAAGACATGTTCATCACATTGTTGGAGTTATGGTTTGGGGTGCTATAGCTTATGGTCCCAGGTCACCTTTAATCCTCATCAGAGGTAACATCAACGCGCAGCGTTATATCCATCTTATACCCTATCTTGACACACTGGCAGATCCAACTTTCCAACAAGATAATGCCCGACCACATGTTGCAAGAGTCACAATAGACTTCTTTCGACATTGATGTCACATTGTTACCATGGCCACCAAGATCTCCCGACTTATCCCCAATTGAGCACGTGTGGAATATGATGGGTAGGAGATTGCTCAATTTGCAACGTCCTCCTCAGACTCTAGAAGCACTTCGAGAGGAGTTGGTGGGTTGCCTGGAATGAGATACCACAGGAGGACATTGACCACCTGATCAGAAGCATGCCTAGGCGCGTTGGAGAATGCGTAGCACATCAAGGTGCATCTACACATTCACACATTATTAAAGGTCAAAGGGCTTTAAAGTAGTGCAATCATTTTGAAATTTTTTATCATTTACTTATTATGCTTCATTAAGTACTTATACAAAATTTTATTAAAATAAAACCATTTAGACTGGGTGTTCGGATTTATATGTCACTTAGTATACATGTTTGAAACAGAAAAAAACTGTTGCCTATATAATCTAGCAACGTTAATGAAGTTTTGTGTTGTGGTGTGTTTTGTTTTTTGTGCATTAAAGATCGGCAAAAAAAGATAGGCAATGACAGGGAGGAGAAAGGATCCCGTGTGGAAATATTTTAAGGAGACTGATGCCAAAGCTGGCTCGAAAATAACTAAAGCAGCAACATGTTTAACCTGCAACATGGATATAGTGCCACTGGTGGCTAGAATGCGCAAGCATATTAAAAATTGTAAACAACTTTAACAAGGAAGTTTGTTAGAAAAACAAAATATTCATATTATTGTTATTATTATATATCAGATAGTTCTGATACCGACAATGATGATGTTTCTACCGAACTTATCTCCGCAAAGATAAGTAGCTTGGGGAATTGTGAAAAAGGTACATTTTTTTACTTGTATTTCCCTAAAAAGTAGTGAAAACTGCAAATTTATTCTATGTACATTTTCCATTAATTAATAAAAAATAAAGTATATTTTTCAGTGTTTTAACCTAGGGCCCTTTTAGTTTCGTTTTGCAAAATAAAATCAATTTTAATCATACTTAAAAAGATATAAAAAAAACTTGAATAATTCACAAACGACAAAAAAACAGTATTTAAAACATGTTACAGTTCAAAACAAATTGGTTTAAAACACGTTCATTGTTTTAAACATTTTGATTAGAACATAACAACCCTGTCACATCTCAAACTGAATATGTACTATTTCAAGGTAATGAGCCGTATTCATAAAACAAGCATATCCTTGTAATTTTGAAGGAAATCCTCCAGATGGTATTTATAAATACTAAGTATGCTTTTGCTTTTTCAGTATAAGCATATCCTTCAAAGCAGTGACATAAGTAAAAGGTTATTCATAATCTTCACCTTATACGAGTAAAACAATATTTTTTCATCGATAAACACTGTTAAACGATAATATAAATTTGCGGCGTGCGAGCTGTCAAGTTCACAATGATAAGAGAAGTGAAAGTCGATCAAGCAAAAGAAACGTATTTCATCATAGAGTTAACTCACAACGATAACAATTAGGTAACACTGCAGCTTCTTTTGAAGGGGCCATCACAAAGTACGGATGGTAAAGAAATGTACGTCTAAAAACGAAAGCACCGTGTTTTCTTAAGCAATTTTCTGTCACATAGCTAACTGTCAATAGCTGTTGGAATAAAAATGAGATATTTCTTCTGATGTGCGTGCTCCATGCACAAACAAACTGTCAAACGCCCGTAGCTTAAATAATCGTTATTCAATGATTTCCCAATTTTCTAATTTTCTTGATTTTTCTTTCCGTAAAAACCTTCTATACAGCATAAGGAAACTTAAAAAAAATATGAATGAAATTAAGTTATAGCGTGACCACGCGAAATGGTAATCGTCAATGCTTAAAAATTACTATTTTTGAGGTAACCAAGAGTCTAAATCAAAGTTCGAACCTTCCTCTGCAAGACCTCGAAGAGTATTTAAGCCAAGTTTCTTTTAAAGTAACTTTTTATCTTGTTTGGTAGGCTAAAAAATGGAGAACTTTTGATTTTTGGCCAACTTTTTTTACATGTTGATTCTGGTTTATAGAAGCCAATCTGCTCAAATCACTTGAAAACGGGTCTTCAGAGTAGGTAGATCGAATACTATTTATTACAGTTCTATCTCTTATGCCATACATTTCTTGATTTTAACGTAGTTTGTAATAATTTTATCTTTTATACTTGTTATTGTCATCCTTTTAACCATATTTATGTGTGTGTAATATGTAGTGTTTATTATATGTATTGTTTGTCATTTATTTTCTTCTTGTACCTCAGCGCTTCTATTATATTGACTTGTGTAAGCACGTTCTGTGTTATAGCACCAATAAACCATTATTATTATTATTATTATTATTATTATTGTTATTATTTGACAAAACGGTTCTCTACTATAATGAAAACCTTCGAGGTTGAAGCAATTAACAATTACAAGAAACCGAACGAATCTGGCAGTTAATAACTCGAAGAAATACCAAAACATTGCACCGGTACTTCAAGAATCACCTAGTAGCAATTAAGTCTCACCATCTCTTTCTCACCATTAACATTCAACGGCAAGGTAGCATTTATCCGGTAAAATGAGCGGAACGACACGCACTCGAAAAAAAAAACAATAGGCATATATCATCAAAGTAGAAATGAACATTTTTTAGGTAGTACTTAAGTACCACTAACCTGTCCGAAGAACATGGAGCCAACCCAATTCAATGGGGCGTCGCTTTGGTCTTACCTAGAACAAAGAGAAGACAATTATTAATAGGTAAGAAATACAAGTCGAAAATTATAGTTTATACGCACAGAGGCGTCGAAAAATATGTGTATCCAAAGAAATTAGTATACACTTCGAAGTTGAGTAATTTATTTTAACAGTGAGTAGATCTGATCAAAAGAAATGTTTTTTTCCTTTAACATTTTTGTGGTAAAATTAAAGTAATAAAGTTATAGCCCTTTAGAAGTTTGAGTACTGCCCTGTCTCAATAATAATATTATGTGCTCGTGTTTGGCAACAACGGATATAATCCGCCTTATCGGTTCATCGCATCGGCAAAAAAAGCGAAAGAATTTGAAACGCTTATCACGATGTTTTACTACAATTTTATTCAGTTGTATTCAGTCAATGTGTCAGTCGGTAACGCGTGAGTGAATAGTGGTGTTTGTTGCGTAGCTCAAACGAAATAAAAAATGGCACATGTTTACGAAAATGCTGAACTTGTGGACATGATTCTTATTTACTTTACAAAATGCTGCCGCGGTATCACGGATTTATGCGGATCGGTTTCCCAATCGAGTGCAACCAACCCCTCGTGCCTTTGTTAATGTAGTACAAAGGGCTCGTGAATCAGGTGACTTAAGACCTCAGAGGGGAGGGCATGCCGGTGCTCCAAGACCGCACTGAAATACTTGTGGGGAGGATACTTTATAAAACAAGGTAACATTTTTTTTAATTTTTTTTTTATTTTTACACACATATTTTGGTTTATCTTCCTTCTACAATCATTATCTGAAAATTAATGACTCAACTTCAAAGTCCTGTATACGAGCGGGTACCCAAAAAAAAAAGAAATTATTTTTAATGGCTATTTATTTTCAACTTTTTCACCAAGTAACCTTATCTCCTTCAAAATACTGTCCACTACAACTAATGCCTTTGTCCCACCGGTGCTTCCACTGCTCGAAACAATTTTTGAAGTCTTCCTAAGAAATGTCTAACAGCTCCTCCCCCGTTTTTTGTTGTCCTCTTCAATGCCGTCAAAGCGGCGTCCTTTCATGCCCTTTTTCATGGAAATAGGAAAAAGTCGCACGGCCTGGCGAATAAGGTGCGTGAGGCAGCGGAAGCATGGCATTTTTTAGTCAGAAACTGTCGAACAGAGATGGCTGTGTGCGCAGGTGCTTTATCGTGGTGGAAGAACCAGTCTCCTGACTGCCACAAATCTGATCTTTTTTTATGAACACTGTTTCGTAATCGTTTTAAAACCTCCAAATAGCACAAGCTCTCGAATTTTTTCAACATTTTCGTCCATTCGGGCAGTTGATGGACGAGGTTGGTCAACAATCGATTTTTGAATCGTGCAAACCACTCGTACACCCGAGTTCTTCCCATAGCATCATCTTTGTAAGCTATTTTCAACATTAAAACAGTTTCAGCAGCATTTTTACCAATTAGAAAGCAAAATATCACAGCTGCACGTTGCTCACTGAAGCTTGTTATCGTAAAAAACGAAACAAACACGAAACAGCTGTGCAAAAATAATATCTACAGAGGAACGGAACAAGCCAGAGCGACAACTCAGGTGGCACTGAACTGGAATGAGTTGCGCTGTACGCCTCTAGGGGTAGAAATGTGTACTACACAAGCTCCGCCCACTGCAATGCTATTCCGGTTATTTTTAGGTACCTCCTCGTATATTAGTATAACAAAAAAATTGAATTAATCAAGTCAGACAAATAGCTCACTATATCCCTCAGCCAAGGGCGGCTGGCCCTTAAGTTCTGCAGAGCTACAGAACTGTCAAAACTTTTTTCTTAACAGAAAAAAACAAAAGTAATTTGATATTATTTATTTTCCATGTTATCACACAAATAGAAACAATACCGGCCTGCCCCCGCAAGACACGGCGTCGAGTCTATTTTGTACCGAGGAAGCATTATAATCGACCAATTGTGTACTTGTCAGTTTCGTCGCGACCGCAGCGTAACATTATTCATGGGCCACTTGAAAAGGGTCTGTGCACTACTTCGACACAAGCCGCACGAGCTTGCTGTTGTTTCTCTCTACAAAATCAAATGCGCGATTTAAGCATAAGCACGTGCTGCAATTTATACAGATCCGTACAGATCTAATGCGAAGTACGATATCTCATTGGTCGGTCGGTGCTTGGTCCTCGGCGAGACAATTAAAACATGAATTTAATTCAAAAATCAAACATTTCTTGAAATTCTGACTGAATCATATGTAATTTCTTAATATTCAATAAGCTGGTGATGTTTCAATGACAAGTTGTCATCTCATACTTTGACAGTATTTTGTTTTCAACATTTCATAGCTATTGGTTGCTAAAATTTGTTGATTGGAACTTGAAGCTCATTCGCTGTGAAGTTGGCCCTAAAAGTTATAATTGTTGAGGTCGCCAAGTATCTGAATTCAAAATAAAAACCCAGCTCTGCATGACTTCGAAGAGTACTTTGAGATTAACTGTATTTTGAAACGGTTTATAATCTTATCTGTTTGGCAAAAATATGCAAAATTTTCTCTGAAGTTGTATTGTACTATTTGGTAGAATCGTAAGATAAGTTTATGAGCAAATTTTCCAGAATTATCTCACTTCACTTCACAGGCTTAGGGAAATGTTCGGCATCCTTCATTTTATCACCCAAAAAAGCTCGATAAATGTACTTGTCAGTCTTCTCCGTCTGAAATATGAGACTGTCCGGAAATTCGACATATTCAGCGAAGCCCCTCGGTTATCGGCTATGTAGGGGAGACCGTGGGCGTCGCTTGGTGATGAGTTTTTCATCTTGACGCAGAAAAAAGTTTTCCCAATATTTCCTACACACGAAGCCTGTTCATTTTAGCAAGCAAGTTATGGGTTTCAAACTCTTATTAACTCCCGCAGGGATATTACGTATCTTGAAAAGTGATATTATGTCGTTTTTTTGACGTTATAGTACATACACAATGTTATTGCTATGCCCAGGACGCAAAAGCTTTGTAATTTTTTAAAATCGGTTCCGTGGCGGCAGATGAAAAGGCCAACAACTAAAAAAATGATAAGAATCGCTCAAGCTTTGCCTTTTGACGTTTCAGTCGAACCTGAATCGTTTTCGGGAACATTTTTGTAGGGCTTAAAAATGAGGGGTTAAGGCTTGCAGGGGGTGGAGGACGGTATATCTTAATTCTACGCTCATATGAGGCATGTCCCCGAGTGTCGATACGTGTGACGTGGTCTACCGCTGGACAAGTGCCGTCGACGGTGGTCGTACGTCACGGTCGGCAATCGCTTCCGCACTGCTGTGCGCGGTGTGCACCTGGACCCGCAGGAATTCTTGTTAGGGGGAGGGCGAATGTCACTTAATCTCTTATACATATTTGTAGCTAACTTTTTTCTTAGATGGACTTGTGACAAACATAATCCTCTACGAAATGATGACAGCGTTGCGTGGCAAGTACACAGTGTCAATTTACTTGGCGCCATTTTTTTATTTATAGTTGCTATAACGTCTAGGTTGATGACGGAAGATTGCCTTGTGATATTTGTTATCTTTCAGAACGTACGAGATCGTATCGTGTCGGATTTTCATTATCAGTATCAATACACAAATAAGTGGTTTCGGAGTAATTGCTTGTAAGAGTTTAAATTTTCCCGATCGCGCAATACCTGAATCATTTATCAACTCGTTAAATTCTCATTTATACAGACAGGTCAAGGCCAATTATTTTTTGTGTTTCTGAGGAAATACAATAAAGTCAAGCAAGTTGACTCTGCACATCCCCCGCAATGATATCGACAGTTCAAAAATGATTATTTTCGGCATAAGTTTGCCCCTCTGAGAAAAAACAGTACCGGAATTGGAATCGTGAACGAATGGAAGGAATGAACTCCGAGGCCGGAATCGGAATCGTGAACGAATGGAACGAATCGAGGTTGAAATAGGGATCGTGAACGCATGGGAGAAATCGATTCCCAGGTCGGAATCGTGAAAAATGGAATGAATCGATTCCGAGGCCGCAATCTGAATCGTGAACTAAGGGAAGGAATCGATTCCGACTCCGAAATTGGAATCGTGAACGAATTGGAGGAATCGACCCCGAGGCCGGAATCGGAATGGTGAACAAATGAAAGGAATCGATTCTGAGGCAGAAATTGGAATTGTGAACTAATGGAAGTAATCGACTCTGAGACCGCAATCTGAATCTCGAACTAATGGAAGGAATCGATTCCGACTCCGAAATTAGAATTGTGAACGTATGGAAGGAATCGATTCCGATGCCGCAATCAGAATCGTGAACTAATGGATGGAATCGATCCCAAGGCCGGAATCGGAATCGTGAACGAATGGAAGAAATGAACTCCGAGGCAGGAATCAGAATGATGAACGAATGGAAGGAATCGATTCGGGGGACGGAATCGTGAACGAATGGAAGGAATCAATTACGAAGCCGGAATCGGATTGGCGAACGAATGGAAGGAATCTATTCTAAGGTTGCAATAGGAATCGTGAACGCATGGGAGAAATCGATTCTCCGGTCGGTCTTCACGATTCCGAGTCCGCAATCTGAATCGTGAACTAAAGGAAGGAATCGATTCCGACTCCGAAATTGGAATCGAGAACGAATTGAAAGAATCGATACCGAGGCCGCAATCAGAATCGTGAATGAGTGGAAGAAATCGATTCCGACTCCGAAATTGGAATTGTGAACGATTGGAAGGAATCAATTACGAGGCCGGAATCGGATTGGCGAACGAATGGCAGGAATCGATTCTAAGGTTGAAATAGGAATCGTGAACGCATGGGAGAAATCGATTCCCCGGTCGAAATTAGAATTGTGGACGAATGGAATGAATCGATTGCAATGCCGCAATCTGACTCGTCAACTGATGAAATGAATCGATCCCAAGGCCGGTATCGGAATCGTGAACGAATGGAAGGAATGAACTCCGAGGCTGGAATGGGAGAGGTAAATGAATGAAAGGAATCGATTCGGTGGCCGAAATCTGATTCGTGAACTAATGGATGAATATCAATTCCGAGGCCGGTAGC